GGGGGGGGGGGGGGGGGGGGGTACAGGAAACATGGGAATTTTGAGAAAGGTGGGTTGAGGAGAGTAACATAAAAAATTATTTTCTCTAAAAATATTTTATACTCTCTAACCAAACACTAGAAAATATTTTCCGGAAAAAGTTTTCCACTCAACAATCAAACAAGGGAAAATAAGTGATAAAACCGCTCATTTTCCAGGAAAACATTTTCTAGGAAAATATTTTCCATGGAAAACATCCATTCATACCAAACACAACCTAAGTATATGAAATGTAGCATTACTATAGTTTGACCAATATTTAGCATTTTCTAAATTATATCTGAAGACAACGAATGTAGTTTGTATGTACATATTAACACAGATCCCTTCCTAGAGAATTTGCAATTGTTTTAAATAGCTTTTGATATAACACTTGTTAGGATAACATCTGACAGGAATTTGATGTTTCCGACAAAAAATGAGTTCAAAGAGTAGAGCATAGAATAGGACATTCTACATATAACTATTTTAGCGGTCACAAGTACAAAATTTGCTTCACAGTTCAAATTTGACAATGATAACTAATCACAAGGTGCAAAATGCAAGGGTACAAAAAACAAGGAGACACCATTCCGCTTTTTCTCAAAATTCTCAGGGACAAGCAAAGAAGGAATCTATGGCTACATGGAGAGAAACTATTAGGTCTTTATTTTACTTCTCTTCTAAAGTGAAGGTGGGGGAAAAGAGAAGAAGATGAATGAGTAGAAAGAAAATATGTTAAACAATGAGGATCCAGTAACTCACAAGACTACCAAACCCAATGTAAATAGGTTTCTGACCAGCATTCAGCCAATTTACTAGTGATTCTGGAGGTTCATAACCCGATGCAAGATCAAGGAAGCAAAATCCCACCACATCAACCTTAGATCCCCAATCTGCAAAAGTGGAACTATATAAAGAAAAAGTTGCGACTTCTTAAAACAAAAATGCATCTGATAAGACTTATGGAATACAAATTTTCTTCTAAGTTAGTCTCGGGAAGCTAAAGGACTTCCTCTATCAGATTATCAGACATCTGAAGAATAATTACCTTTTGGTTTAGGTACAAGGTGAGGACTCCAAATATATCCATGCGGGATATCCAACTCAGAGCCTTGAGAACCGCTTAAATATGTGACTGGTCTTAGTTTCAGTTTTCTTTTCCTGGTATCATTTATCATATCGCGTATTCCTAGCCAAATCAAGGAGTCAACAATCTGATACGACAGCTGCACAATTCAAAAAGAGCAAATGTAAACAAAAACCAACCTTCTTTTTTTTTTTTTTTTTTTTTTTATCTTTTTAGTCCGGTGGGGTGGGAAAGGGGAGGGAGCAAGGCAATATCAAAGGAAAAGGCAACAGTAGATGCAAAAATGCAGATGTTAGAATCCAACTCACCCTATATCCAGCAGGTTGTTTAACGCGGGACAATGGATGAGGAAATTCGCTAGTTGGCCTGGTACAAAAAGATAACAATGTTTACTCACTAAATAACCTAAGGCCCAGACCTAACTTTTCAATAGCACATGTAAATTGAAATGAATAGAATGAATAACGAAATAGCTTCGTAATTCTCCATTACCCAAGCAAGACTTACGTCCATGGCATTGTAAAGAAAATATGAATTGGGATTTTCAGTGCTTCTGCAACATGTGTATGCCCTGAAATTGAGATTTCCAGGTTAGCAAGAGAAACTATTGTTCCACCATTCCCACAAGCACATACATCCAACGTATTTGATTAGCATAAAAGCTTTGAGAAGAACCTCCATCAAAGTCCGAAATGAGCTTGACAAGCCATTACTAACAGAAATTTGACTGGAGTTGAGTCCTCCAGGACAAGTTGAAATGGTATTTTATGAGGCAAGAAAACTAAGCCAAGCATACAGAAAATATTTAGCACACCCTAGTAAAATTGGAAACTGTTTCCTTTTCACTTGTAAGATCATGCCCGACAAGAATGAACGTCGAATATCAAACTAGAATCAACTCTATTCGCCAAAAACCAACACAACCACCCTCAAGATCCATTCGTAAACCTTTAGTGAGCAGGCTAAAATTCGTGCAGGTCAATTGTGAAAGTGGTCATTCAACAACTAAGCTTCAAACAAAATGACAAAGAGTTGACAGCTTTTCTCATCCTTAAATAGAATTGCTATATTTATGGATCTGAAAGTAAAATATATTATATATGCTTAAATAAAGAAAAATTTCCAAGTTTAAATGAATTTGCACATATCTAACTACACTTCATGGGTCATCAAAGTTACTAACCGATACGTCCTGCTAACAGTTTCAGTATATATAATATAGTGCAAGAAATAACTCAATTCATTGAGATAGTAAGTTACAGTAAAAGATTTCCCAACGAAGTAGGAGGCAGTCTCTTCTCCACTGACTACAGTATACAAATAAGAAATACGCTCTGAAACTTTTTCCCACACATGGCAAAGTAAAAGGCAGACCACAAGCTTGACTAACAGGAGCAGAGCTCACTAATACGTGAGGTAATATAAATAGGATTCTCTCTGAGAATTATCTTATTTCTCCTTACCAAAGTTGAGAGGAGCACAGTGTTTTCTGAGACTATGTAGCTGAAAATATTAGCCTAATCTGTGATGTGCTGAAGAAAAATCTTCCATTTCATTCTGGGTTTCGTTTCATTCATGGGTTATAAAGACTCGGATTTTCTAGAGACATCATCACGCAAATCACTTAACAAAACAATCAGCAAAAATGTAAAATTAGCTATAATGAGGATAGGAATGATTAATGAAAAGCATCTAATATGCATATTAACAAGGAAATGAGTAAGTAAAGTGGTACAGAATGAACAAATTACTAATCTTACCATATGCTGGAGGATTAGCAATAATAGCATCTGCTTTGAAGGGTACCCCAGTATCCATATCAGATTCTATGCAAGGTGAGAGTAGAGAATTTATAATATCCTTCAACTGGTTTCTCTGAACAGGAATTTCTGAGGGTCCAGAAGGTAAGAACCCCTTGTTTTTAACCATATCTACAACCAAGAGAAAGAACATTGAGCCAAATCTGCAATGAACTTTTGAACTTAAAGACTATTACGAATAAATGCTCCCATTGTTATTGATGAAATTTGAAGCGTTCAGTAATTAGTGAAATTCAAGAATCTAAAAACATTCTTTGCAACAGCTTAGAGAGAAACCAAATATTCTCATGCATCTACAAACCCAGAGAACAAAGCACTTCAGCTGATGTGCAAGATGCATGGAAACAAGTCTTATACTCTTCTATAATACTAATTCTCAATGTATGCCCCTATAGCATCCACAAACAAGATTCTTACAGGCAAAGTAATCTTAGTGCAAATGAAGTCTTTCAATCTTCAGTTGTACAAGAAAAAAGTGATTATCCAATAGAGCAAATGACTTTTTAGCAAGTATAAGAAAGAATTAATGATGGACTTCTTCTTTCAGATTGTTTGTTCTTCTTTTTTTTTCTTTCTTTTTCCTGTTTTCGTTTCAGATTGGAGATTTAAAATCCTTTGCAGCAGGTAGCCAAGTTTAACATATGATCCTTAAAAATGCAAAAGGAATCACACTAGTTAACCCCATCATTATTAATGGGCAACAAGAATTGAAGCGCTTCCAAGCAATTCAGATGCAGTCTCTCGACACTAACTAATGAATGCATATATGTAATGAATTTTCCCTTATGACAATTAAGCGTCAAAGTTTTCCACAACTATGTGAACCAATCACAAGTTGGTTATCCTGCGCTTACTTCAGGTTGAACTGAGTTACAAATATAATGATGACTGTATAACACACAATGCTTTGTGAACATTTAAAAGAGTAAACATCCATCTAGAAATGGAGAGCATCAGATAAAGTACAATCAAGACATTGAACCCACATGAGATTGTTCAGTTTCAGAACAAACAGGAACTTAGGAACATACATCCAGCCAAAACTTTTGGATCACCCCCAAGAGGATAGAACTCCAACCCAGCGGTTAGGACAAACTCTTTGAAATTTGCATGGGTTGCCAGCCTCACTCGATGACCAAAATCCTGCATCAGCAGTTCTGTCAACAAACTAGCATAGACCACAGGATACTTTTTTAGCTATGACAATGAACAATCACAGACAAGTACAAAGCAAGAGATAAATCATCATAAGATACGGCTTCTTAGACAAGATTAGCATCTTATAACAAGCAAAGGGTTTGCAACTGCCAAGGAAACAACTGCTTTTCTAATCCATTGACCACCAAAAGATGGAACACCATTAATTCAAGACCTATCAAAGAGAAAGGGTTCTCAAGAGAAAATTAAAATAACCGCCCTAATACACGTCAGAGGGAACACTGGCATTTACAGGTATCAAGGGTATCCATTGACATCGTAATAAAGTGTAGCTTCGTAACTCCATTGCTTTAAGATTTAGAGTTATAAACTACAGCTACAAGAGCAAATGTTCCATCAGCGAAAAGACAAAGCCATCTCAATTTCAGCTCCTAAAGCATCTCATGGCAAGAAGAGCATAATTTGAGACATAATCCATACAACAAGAAAGAAAAATGGCCTGGTCTTATAAATCATCTGTCATAATTTACTAGTATGAAACAAGAAAATGAGGAAGAGGGAAGGTAACACCACAAACTGAGTCATTAAGGTCTTGATCGCTGGTTTTCTCCAGCTTTGAGAAAATTCTAGTTTTAATCACCAAATGACTGGAGGCATTACAAATTTAAACTGTAAAAGTGAAATGACTAGGACTACAACACACAACAAAAAGAGGATACTGGAAATTTAAAGAAAAAAGTGGCCTTATAGATTTCCGATGTAGAAGTCAACTCAAAGAGAAAAAGACACCCTGCTGAAAGAGTTGCAAGCCTGTTTCACCAATTTAACATGACAAAGTACATATGTAAATAGTGTATATGCATGTAAAATGTGGAAACAGATTGCAGATATAGAATCTGAGATGGCAAAATGATATCAGGTACCTGCAAACGTTTGCCAATTGCAATAAAAGGTTGCACATCGCCGCGTGTTCCAACAATAAGCATTGCAATCTGTATTGGGGGAATATATTGTAGTTCTGTTGCATCAAGAGGCTCATCCTCAACTTCATTAGAGACACTTTGAGATTCAACTCCAAGCACTCTGGATTCTACGTCACCTGGAATCTCAAATTCTACAGTTCCATTGTCTTTGACAGTAGCTATTCTCTTCAACAATTTGAGCTGCAGTATTTTTCGTGGTAACAAGCATCGAATAATGTAAATTAGTTGAACGATTTATCCATCCTTGGGTGACATAAGAAGTATTGGGGAGAGGTGACATGTCATTGCTTCAGCTTACCGAGGACATACCCTCGATAGGAAGGTGTGCTGGTCGAGAAAAAGGGTTGAAGGTTGACAGGTAGTTGTGAGTTTCTCCTAGGCTTACCAGTAGTACTAGTACTATTTTGTATTTTCTTGTTCCTGGTTCTTTATTGTTACATATGTGTCATTCGCTTCCATTATCCTATTACATTGTTGTTGCTATTGTCTGTTTCTTTATTTTCACACTTTTTTTAGCCGAGGATTTATTGGAAACGGCCTCTCTACCTTTACGAGGTAGAACTAAGGTCTGCATACACATTATCCTCCCCACACCCCACTTATGAGATTACACTAGATTTTTTGTTGTCGTTGTTGTGGGTGACATAAAAGTCAACAATATGAAACATTAAGAATGATTAAACTAAATGATATGATTTTTCTAAAGGTGCCAAATCTAGCCCAAAGAGGTAATCCCCCAACTCGCCGAAGTTTGGACAGGTCGCATTAAGAATATATTCATTGGTGGGTCAAATAGAGCAATGTGCGAATTGACCTACCTAATAGCTTGTGTCAATTTGGGCAACCAAGTCCCCTAAGAAAACTTTACCAAAAATGTACCTTCTTTTCATTGTTTATATATATATATATATATATATATATATATATATATATATATATATATATATATATATATATTCTCTACGGTCCACTTTCACATGCTTTATCTTACTATAAGAAAAGAATAGATCGTTTTGAGTTTTTAAATAAAAAAAGTATAGAAAATGGCATAATGGTTTTGAGTTGCGCGGTATTGGGTTATGAGTTATGACTCATTGTTTTGCCCAAATTGACTCGACGCATCTTAATGCAAATAATCTGGACGGGGTTAGGTCACGACCATTTACTGACTAAACCCGTTTTTACCTATCCAATTTCAGCCTAACATGCCCATTTGACACCCCAAATATGTTACTTGGAGAGATAACAGGACATGCTTTTCACTGAAAATAAAAATTTATCAAGATGAGTAAATTTAATCAGGTGATTTAGATAGAAAGTGAAACTAATTTCCATGAAGAGATAACGGAAAAAGTAAAAAATGGAGAATTAACAAGTTTTAGTAAATGTAATGGAGAGCAGAGAAAATGGATACCAAGAAGCCAAATAAATAAATAAATAAAAAGTTTATAATATGAAACATGACGCGGTAGGATGATTTCATCATGAATTATACCTTCTGATGTTCACTAATTTTGTCATCAAAAACGTTTGCTGTGTCTTGAGCAAATTGACTATTATGTCTAGATGTCTCGGTTTTTGATCTTCCCAACTTAAGATGACCTGAATGTGATTCTGATTTATCAGGACTAAATATTCCGCGAGGCTTTGTATTTACTCTTGTAACTTCCATCCCAGCAGTTCCTAGCATATAAAATCACACACTTACAGTTAGCATACAATACGGCCCGTTTCAAAAGCATCAGAATTCACTGTAAATCAATCGTATTTTATGTATATTACATGCATGGAGTCATTCTAGTGTGTTTATACATAACACAGAAGTAAAATGTTGGTACTATGAATTTTTGTTGTTTCGGCTGACTTGAATTGATGACAACACTTAATTTCAGTTATTCAAACTGTTCCAACTTGTTCACATTGTTTGCTTATCACTGATAAATTTGACAATTCCAGAACTAAGTTAATATATTTGGTATTAAAATGTAATTTCAGAAACTGTACAAAAAATAATAATAAAAAAATATTACATTTAAATTCTGATCAAAATTCAAAAGGCTGAAACATTTTGGAGCTGGCCGAATTTATTTACTTCGAATCCTGTTCAGACAGCATCTCGGTAAACTACACAATTTCCGTTAGAAAGGAAAAAAAACCTGAAGAGTCGCTGACGCCATTGGAAACTGAACCGCCAGCTACTTCATCTACAGTATCCAGCTCAGCAACAGCACCGCAACCATTACCATCGCCATTTTCATCTACAGTATCCTTCTCTAGGGACACGGATACTTCGCTAGAACTAGAAGATGAGCTCGCCAGACCTAAATTCAGCGAAGACTCCGCCATCGGTGGCTTCACCACCTCTGGCGAACTCTGTTTCTTCTGATCCAGTCTCGCAACTTTTCCAAACTCTAAAATATGCTAGCAAACAGAGAGAATCTAGCACAAAGAGATAAATTGCTGAATTGAAGAGTTGGAGAGAAGAGAGAGAGAAGCCAAGTTCGAAGGAATTGGAATCGAGCACAGAGGATTTAATCACACCAACAGCAATGGGCGAATAGGAAATGAAAGATATTTTTGTAATTGGGATTATGGTCTCTTCTTTGCAAAACGCAAGAGCTGACCCGTAAACCGTAATGTATGTTCCTCGTGAGTGGTGGGACGCCTGGAATCCCGTTACTGTCAGAAAATCGTTGTCTAAAGTTCAAAGTGTCCGGCGCGTTTTCTAGATTTATGGTCAATTATACCCCTCTATTATTCTGTCCGCCAAGTTTCTTGTCAACTCTCTTCTTCTCCCTTCCTTAAAAACTAAGGGCTGTATCTCATATTTTTGTTGGGAGAAAATTAAGGTATAATTAATTTCGATATTAGTTATTTTGGAATTATAGTGTTTTTTTATTTCTATAAAAAGGTGGAATAATTAATCCCGAGATAACTAATTTCCGAATAATTAATCCTGGGATAACTTCTTTTCGACCAAACGATCCCTAAAGGTGTTTACTAGACAGGCTGGACTGGGCTATGTATTGGGGAAAATTGTATTTTATATATATGGTGACGTGTCAGGACACGTGAATTGGTCAAATGGTCAATAAATCTCAATTAGACACGATTCAAGAATTGTAAAACAGACACGAGCAAAGAAGGAGGAAGAGGCACGGGACATCAGATAAGTAGTACGGCGCCCGTACCTATTTAAATCATTTATATGCAGGCATCAGAAGGAATGAATCTAGTTATGAAAAAGCATGCAGATACAACATTTAATGGGTATTAAATGTTGAGTCCGTTAAGGAATATATATATTCAATGTAATGATTGTGTAACGTAGCATTCAATGTCTTTAATTATTCATAAAAGTCTCATTATGATTTGGGCATAACGTACATTCTCAAAGGTACCTATAAAAAAGAGATATATGATCAGTTGTAAGGGACACGAAAAGCTATTGAAATATACATTGGTATCATTTGTTTTTCTTGATTATTATATTGCTACTCAGAATTATTTCCTTTTAGTCATTTCTTTGATTATCAGTAACCCGAGTTCTTTTAAATTCTAGCTTTGACTAAAATTCTATTTTTTGGTCAAACAAATTGGTTCCTTTACCGGGAATCTGATAATCTATTTCCTCTTTGCTTAACTTTCCTTGTTACATCAACTATGGCAAATAACAATGATAACACTCATGGAAACCAAGAAAATCAAACAAATCAGCAACTTCAGGGAGATCTGCAGGATAATAACGCATTAATTCCTTCTCCACAAGGTTCTCCACGACGGTCTTGTGAAGGCACTCCTGAGGGTCTCATACATATGGACAAGCTCAATTCAAAAATGTGGAGGCTATGGATGAAGCTTTACAAAAACTTATCTCCACATAAGTCAATAAAGCTCTTCAAGCTTTTGTCAGTCAATTACCTGTTGCACCACCTACACCCACACCAAATAACAACACTCTAGAGAACCCTCGTTCCGGACTCGTTAATTCAGGTAGTGGGGGAACCCCCAGCGAATCACAGGAGGGGGAACCAGGTAATTCTAATTTGCAGAATTTAGTACTAACATTGCAGAAACAGCTCAAGGAGCAAAGTGACCGCATAGAGCAGATACCTGGGGTGCCGCCCGTGATCAAAGGGGTAGATATGGATAAGTATTCTCAACAGCCTTGGAAGCCAAGTGCTGCTCCTCTCCCAGTTCCAAAGAAGTTCAAAATGCCTGATATACCAAAGTACGATGGAACAACAGACCCACGAGACCACGTTACTGCATTTACAACAGGCGTAAAGGGCAACGACTTGACTAAGCAGGAGATTGAATCAATCTTAGTCAAAGAATTTCGGTGAAACGCTCACTAAAGGAGCGTTAACATGGTATTCTCTTTTACCCGAAAATTCTATAAATTCTTTTGCGGAGCTTGCAGATTCTTTTATCAAAGCACACTCGGGAGCTCAAAAAGTTGAAAAAAGAATGGAAGATATCCTCAAGATCAAGCAAGGAGACTCAGAATTGCTTAGTAAATTCGTGGACAGATTTCAACGTGAAAGAATGACATTGCCACGTGTACCTGACAACTGGGTAGCTATAACCTTCACAAGCAACTTAAATGAGAACAGTTCAGAAGCTACGAGGCGACTCAAGGAAAGCCTCCGAGAATTTCCAGCAACGACGTGGAATGACGTCTATAACAGATACAGTACAAAGATGAGGATTGAAGAAGATATTATTTTACGACATAAAAAAGAAGAAAAAGTAAGCTCAAGACGTGCAGAAAATGAAAAAGATCCGGTAAAAACATATACGATCCATACATGGGACCTGCGGGGAGAGACTCACGATAAAAGCAGGATAATCAGAGGTACGATCACTGTGACGACCCGACCCGTCGTCTCATCAGTTACCGCTCCGTTTCCCCCATTTTATGCTTCTTCATGTTTTGTTATCGGTATTTGGTGTGTTAGAGTTGATTTGGATTGGTTTTGATAAGAAATGAGACAATTAGTCTCTTTAAGGAAGGCTTAAGTTGGAAAAAGTCAACCGGACGTTGACTTATGAGTTAGAGGGCTCGGAGGTGATTTCCGGTGATTCGGTTAGCTTCGGGAGGTGATTTGTGACTTAGGAGTGTGATCGGAATTGATTTTGGAGGTCCGGTGTAGAATTAGGCTTGAATTGGCGAAGTTAGTATTTTGGCGAATTCCGGTTGATAGGTGAGATTTTGATTCGAGGGTCGGAATGGAATTCCGAGAGTTGATTTAGCTTCGTTATGCCATTTTGGACTTGTCTGCAAAATTTCATGTCATTCGGACGTGGTTTGGTTGGGTTTTTGATCAAAAATGGAATTTGGAAGTACTTGAAATTGTTAGGCTTGAATCCGATGCAAGTTTGGTGTTTTAATGTTGTTTTGAGCATTCCGAAGGTTGGAACAAGTTTGAATAATTTTATGGGATATGTTGGCGTGTTTGGTTGAGGTCCCGAGGGCCTCGGGTGTGTTTCGGGGTGGTTTCGAATCATTTCGAGCTGTTTTGCAATGGCTGAAGCTGGTATCTGGTATTGTTCTTCGCGTTCGCGAGGGTCCCCTCGCGTTCGCGAAGAAGGTTTGGCTTCTGGGGTTTTGTTCTTCGCGTTCGCGAAGAGAGCCTCGCGTTCGCGAAGAAGAGGCAATTCTGTTGCGCAGATCTTACTTTGGAGGCTCTTATCTCTCAATCTACAATGAATTTGGAGATGATTCAAAAATGAAAGTTGTAGCTCTTTGAATCTAGTTTCCAGAAACATATTATAATAGTCATTTGGAGTTGTGTGTAAAAAGTTATGACCATTACACTAGAGGCTGTCCGAGCAGAGTTTGGAAAATGAATTTTTGGAACTTTGTTCTTCGCGAACGCGAGAGGAGGACCGCGAACGCGAAGAACAAATCCCTGGGCAGCAGAATAAAGTCCAAACTACGTCCCATTTGCCATTTTTGACGATTTGGAGCTCGGATAAGGCGATTTTTCGGGAGATTTTTTGGAGAGAACAACGGGGTAAGTATTTTAAACTCAATTTTGGTTGTATAACTTGAATCTATCACTAGTTTTGGTGTTTAATCCACGAATTTTGTTGGAAAGTATAGAAAACCCTCTTGGATAGAATCATGGATTTGAGGGTCGAAATGTTATGGGAATTGGATAATTTTTGTATGGTTAGACTCGTGGCGAGATAAGGAATCCGATGATGTGAGTTTTGTAATTTTTCGAGAAGTGGGCCCGGGGCTCGGGTTTTGCTAGTTTCGATATCTTTGCTATTTTTCGATTGTTTTCGATTGGGTATTGTTCCCTTAGCATATTGTGATGTATTCGCTCTGATTTTGGTTAGATTCAACGCGCGTGGAGGCCGATTTGAGGGGCAAAGGCGTCGCGAGCTAGAGATTTCACCGGTTCAAGGTGAGTAATGATTGTAAATGATATCCTGAGGGTTTGAAACCCCGGATTTGCACATCATAGTGCTGTATTGAGGTGACTTGCACGCCGGATAGCGAGCGTGGGGTAGAGCACCGTTGGGGATTGTGACTTGGTCCGTCCCGATTGATGAAATTACTACGTATTTGACTGAAACTACTTGTTATCATCATAATTTGGGCTGATTGCCATGTTTGGGCTTCGTGCCAACTATGTGAATCCTTCAGGGATTGATATCACTGTTTTCGCATTACTTTGCATATTATTTGATCTCGGTCCAAGGTTTTAATACTCTTTTGCAAACTCAGCCGTTTTTCTAAGATTTGAAAACTGAAACATATTTAATGACGTTTTGAGCTGAGTAAACTCCATGTTGTATTGCCCAAGTGGCTTATGTGCATTTCTGGACTGAGCATGGATCGGGCTGCGCGCCGCAGCAGTGTTACATGTGCATTTCTGGACTATGGATGGCTCGGGCTGCACGCCGCAGCGGTGTTACGTTGATTTTGAGGCCGAGGGCCTGGTTGATGCCACGAGATGGCTTGATATTGCGCTTGGGCTGTAGGAGCCCCTCCGGAGTCTGTACACACCCCTAGTGAGCGCCGTCGACGTTAAATATGGATGGCTCGGGCTGCACGCCGCAGCGGTCATATGCATTGCATTGCACTCATGCATTGGTTCCTGTTTGTATTACGTGTCATGACATTCAGCACTCGCATTTCATTGGCTTCTATGCTACTTCTTGCACTGCTTACCTGATACCCTGGTGTTATTTGTTGATGGAGTGCTGTGCCCGAGAGGCTGACTTATGTGCTGACTTGCACTATCTGTTTCGCATTCATTTGCTTAACTGTTGAAAAAGACATTTTCAAAAGAGGTTTTAACTGAGCCCAGATAGATTTTCTAAAGGATTTCACGGTTTTACTGTTTTCTCAAAGGGTAGCACTGTTCTATATAGCATGATGGAGTGCCTTTCGTGATTCCTTGCTGCTCAGTTATTATTTACCTTTATTACTCACTGAGTTGGAGTATTCACTTTACTCCCTGCACCTCGCGTGCAGATGCAGGTATTGGTTACCCGGTAGCGGGTTTGAGCTGGTTGAGGATTTGCTATCGTAGCTGAGCAAGGTGACCGCCGGCGTTCGCGGCACCGGACTTCGTCTTTTGATTCTAAACTTTATTCTATATATTATTGACCCTGTGGTCGTGTTCAGACTTCCTTAGATGCTCGTAACTTGTGACACCCCGGTCGGGCTGTGTTGGGTCGTATATATATCAATTGTTATTGTCATTAAGT